TCCGGGTGAGAATCTCTGTTTTCTTAATGTTGAGCTTCAAATCATATTAAATAAAGGCTGCAGCAATGCCTTAGGTCCTCCTCCGTTTTGGCTGAGTCATCTGTACAACACAGGCTATTGAAGAGTCTTCCTCCAATTCTGATGCCACATTCCTCCTAATACAGTCCAACCTTCCGGATGATCTGTTCCACCTACAGATTAAAAAGGTATGGAGAAGACAGGATGCATCCCTCACACACGCCTTTCTAATTTTAAACCATGCACTGTTTCCTTGCTCTGTTCTGAACACTGTCTCCTGGTCCAAGTACAGGTTTCGCGTAAGCACAATCAAGGGCTGAGGATCAACTTCTTATTCCAATTCTGTCCTTTCCTGGCAGAGCCCCTCAGCTTGGGTTTTTTCCTCTGGCAATAACATGGAACCGCCGACAAAGGGACTGGAACCCTCAATCTTCTGAACCAGAATCCGATACCTTATCCATTAGGCCATGAGAAGGAGTGTCATCCACCACCTAAACAACATGCCTCTGGAAAATCTATGGAGCTTTGATAAATGTCGATATTTATAGAGAGGCTTCAAGCCTTTTGTTCATAGGGTCACTATGAGTCGTGCTCAACTTTAAGGCAATCAACAACAACATAACAGGGAAAGTAACACACTCCCTACCTTGGATTCCAGCAAGAACCTAATGCATTAATATACTAGAAAACATCATGAAAAAGAAAAGCATCATAATGTGAGGGAACAACATACTGGAGAGATAAGCTTCCCCAGCAATCAGGAGAAGTGATTTCTCATTTCCTGGCAGATATGAGTTGTATTTCTTTCCCACCCACCCTCCACCCGCCAGATTTTATCCTATGCCACTTACTGTTTAATTTCTTTTAAAAAAATTTTATTTTAATGAAAGTTTACAGAGACTTTGGATTTCCATTCATTCATTGCTGCACTAGAGCACGCTTCACACACTGAGTACGTCTTACAGTAACTACGCTGTTACCATCTCCTCACTAATCTAGTGCCTCCTGGAAGACCAGGATGGCATATCTGAGTCTCAATGCCAAGCATATTATTTTACATACATTAAAACCCAAAACAAACAAGCAAATCCAACAACATAAAGTCAGTTCTGGCCATGGCGACACTTCCATCGAGTCTCTGAAGCTGTTAATCTTCGCAGGAGCACACTGCTGGTAGAGTCAAACCACCAACCTCCTGGTTAGCTGCCACACGGGACCCACTACACCACCAGGCCACCTCAGGTGTACAGTTGTTACTGCTGTTCTATCTTGTCGAGTAGGAAATGACTTATAGCTGACACACTAGGGGTTTTTCGGAGGCTGTAAATCACATGAGAGGAGACTGTTTATCTTCCTCCCTCATAGCAGCTGGTGGATACGAACCATGTATGTGCCTTTGTACCGGCAGCAAAGGTCCTTACTACTCGGCCACCAGGGCTTCTTAGGCATATAGTTGTTATTGTTATGTCTTGTTGAGTCAGAAGTGACTGGGGCTGACACTCTAGCGGGTCTTCACAGGGTATAAATCACATGGGAGGAAACTGTCTTTCTCCCTCACAGTAGCTGGTGGATACCAACAGCATGCCTTTGGATTGGCAGCAGAAGTCCTTACCACTGGGCCACCAGGGCTCCTTAGGCATACACAGCTCAGTGTGCTCTATGTCACCCTCTGGTAGCTGATGCAAGCAATGCATCAAGAAAGCAGAGGCAGGATTACCGTTCTCTTTCCGTAACCTTGTAATGAACTTCTTGGGAGGAATCACGCCAACCTTCTTCTTCTGGGTGGCAATGCTGTGGAAGAGGTCTGCCAGGCATGTGAGGAGGTTCTCCTTCTTCCGGGGCTGACTCTTGTAAGCAAGAACTTTTTCCCGAAATGGACGGCAAAAATAAAGTGCTTGGAGAACAGAATTGCAGTAGCAGGTATTCCCAAAGTTGACTAATCCAAAATAGTGCTCATTGATTGGAAACTGCTCTGGACCAATCTCTAAATATATGTGACAGGAGCTCCGGTGACCTAGTAGGAAGAAGCCGTGCTGCAACCCCAAAAGTTCACAGTTCAAGGCCACCAGCTACTCTTT